TATATATATATATATATATATATATATATATATACGATTTCATATGAGAGTCCAGTTACTAATAGAATACAATAGAAGTCTTAGCAAATTAGTTCATTGCCCTGCGGGAAATAAAGTAAAACAGAATTTATTTTCATCCTCTTTGCTGTCACAGATTATATCATCCACCCACCCACCCCCACACACTTCATATACAACTATAGCTATTGTTTTTAAGAAGACATTACAAGGTAAGTTAGCCCTATAATTTAGCAGTGAGATTTGTTTGCTCACTTCATTGTGTATGTGTGAGAGAGAGCAAAATGGGACAACTTGCCATGGTCATGTGGCCAGCATGACTAAACGCTGAAGGTGTACGTAATATTGTTACCTTCCCACCAAAGGTGATTCCTATTTTTCTACTTGCATTTTTACATGCTTTTGAACTGGTAGGTTGGCAGAAGCTGGGACAAGTAATGGGAACTCACTCCATTACGGCACTAGGAATTCAAACCACCAAACTGCCAACCTTCTGATCAACAAGCTCAGCGTCTTAACCACTGAGTCACCGTGTCCCTTAATAATAATATAATAACATTTTAAAGCTTTTTAAACTGCAGTTTAAACCACATTTTATTTAAGTGAATGTAAGGAAAATAATGGATATGTTTGATTTATATTTTTCTCAGCCATGATTTTTTAATATCTCAATGGGATTAAATTCATTTTAGTTTCAACTTCCCTCAACATCTATCTCATTACTTAGAGATATTGTTACACACAGTCTATAAAGAGTTCTCTAAACTTTGATCTGTTCATTCAGCTATGCAGTTCAAGGAAATTCAGTAAGATTGAAATAGTACACTGATATTATAGTACTAGGAATAAAGTCATACATCTTAGTTGACATATTGCAATATCTAACTGGGCACCTATATCAGGATCCCCTAATCCCTGGTCTGTGGTTCAGTACAGGGCCACAGTCTGTTGGGATGTGCAAGCGGCAGGCAAGCACACAGTTCCACTTGTGCATGTGTGCACAAAATCATCCCATCCATCTCCACTGCAACTACTGGTCTGCATAGCTGGAAAGGTTAGGAACTGCTGAATTACATGGCATCCTTTATTATATATAAAGGGTCAGCTATGAAAGCAAAGGTGTGGTGATTT